TTCAAAGAATCAGACAAATGTTACATTTCCCATCTACAGAACTAGAAGCTAAAACCCTGCAGGACGTACCTTCAAAGTTTTGAGAGAAAATTATTTCAATGCAGAATTCTATACCCAGCCAAGCTATTAATCAAGGGTGAAGGCTGGAGGAAGACTTCTTTGACATGCAAGAATTCAGAAAATGTATCCTCCATGCACCTTGAAGGAGTTACTCAAGAATGCACTGCCACAAATGGAAAGAATAAACCAAAAAAAAAAAAACATGACATGCAAGAAATAATGTACTCAGTATAGGAGGTGATACTGGACAGCCCAGGTTGGAACAAGAGGATGAAACCTAGGTAAAATGATTGTAAAGACAGAAAACACTAAGTGATCACGATTGCAATTGGTAGCAAGTAACTTGAGAAAATTTCCACACCACTCCGACAACATTCTTCCTTGCCAGAGAGATTATAAAGTTGGATCAAAGATAACAAGGTGCAATCACAGCATAGTACTAACTATACTCAGCTGCAAGATTAATCATAGTCATCCCTCAATATCTCTGGAGGATGGGTTTCAGAACCCCCCACAAATACCCAAATTCAACCTCTTATGTAAAATAGTATTTGCATATTCTACACGATGTCCTATATTCCTAAAATCATCTCTAGATTACTTATAGTACCTACTAGAATATAAATGACATGTAAATAGTTCTATCCCATATTGATTAGGGAGTAATGATGAGAGTCTATTTAGTAAAGATGCAGCTATCACATACATAATGCATGAACAAGATGTGCGTGAATAATGCTCATACAGAAGTTCGGAGAGGACTGAAGGTGTATGAGACATGAGGTAGGCAGCAATGTGTGTTTATACCTCACTTCATCTGAGTGAATTCAGCAGAGCGCTCATATTTGCAAACTAAAGTTTTGCTTTGGAATATTTTCTAGATTTTTTTTCCAGAATACTTTCAGTCTACAACTGCTGGAACCCCTAAGTATGGAGGGCCTATCATATTACAAAGCTATCATTTTCTATATTTCTTTTCAAATTTCACAGATCATAGTTTTACAGAGTGGTGTCATTTTGGCATTTATATACCTGCATAGATGCATACACTCATACAGTGTACCTTATCAAACTCACTCTTCTATCTCTCTCTTTCATCCCTCAGCTCCATTCTTCAACCAATTTCAGCAGGTTTCATTGTTCTATATTCGTACGTGTGTATAATGTACTTCACCCGTATAATATTGTTTTCAGGTTTTTATAATCAACATCTGCATGTGCTATGGAAGACTTCACTATAATTACAGAATACAGGTCTTCACTTTGGCTACTCAGTCTTTTGGATTCAGATATGTCTCCAGCCTTTCTACCAGCAGCCATGCGTAGGAAGCCCCCATCCCCTTACCCAGTGCATCGGGAAACCTTGAGAACATCCTTCCACTCATTCTACTTCTCTGCCATGACCCACTGACCTATCGGTTTGTTAGCACTTAAGATTTCTCCCTACCAGTCAGTCGCTACCCCTCTTTTATTCCCCATACATCTACCCCTCTTTAATTCTCCCCATATACTACTAGCAGATTGTTACTTGTGGCAAATTTTTCTTAGAGACTCAGACATTTTGGAGCCATGGGGTAGGAAACAATTCTAATTCAATACCCAGCTCTCTCTGTATTAGAAATGCAATGCCAGGCACTGCCATAGATATTATACTCAGCTGGAGCCCTCTACAGGTTCCAGATTCCTGCCACGGAGCACGGATTTCTTGCCATGACAGTCCTGGTTCAGATGCCATGCTCAGTCCAAACTAGGTATTAGAATCACCTGAGGAACTGCTAGTACTGCTAAGGCCCACCCACCTGCCCCAAGGTTCTGCTTTATGCAGTCTGGGAGGGCTGGACATGATCCCAAGATGTCTTTGGTGTGCAGCTAGAATTGAGAACCACTACACTGCTCTTTCAGTTGCCAAGGAACAATCCTCAAACGCTGTGACTTCACTATGCAGTATAGTGTGACTCTTTTTGTTCTCCTCCCTTTGGCCAGACCATGTAATCCCTCTGCCTGCTGCCAGATGGTAAAAGACCATTTCCCTTCCTCCTCTGTGCAGATCAAAGAGTGGTTTCTGCCATAGGGGTTGTCCTGTACTTTGCTTTCACCACTGACTTCCTTTCCTGCGTAGAAGACTGAGCTACCACATTATTTAATAATGCATAGTACACCTTAGGACGCATGGACCATAATTTGCTTAACCATTTCCTACTGGTATCATTTGGACTTCTCATTTTGCTGTTGCTAATTAGCACTGCAGTGAATTTCCATGGAAATGTGGTGTCCTCAAGTAAGGACTGAGGATATAGGTCAAGTGGTAGAGTCTCTGCCTAGCAAGTACAAGGCCCTGAGTTCAAATCCCAGAAACACCCAATATATGCACAAGAACTTCTAGATTAGAATCACCAATCCAAAGCATATGTACATTAAACATTTGGACAAGAAATGCAAAAATACTCTCCATTTGAGTGGCATGTTAATATACTCTCCATCAATAGTTTGCTAACGTATCTCTTTCCTCAGACACTTTGAAAGCACTAAATAGTATCACCATGAACACAGCCTGTTATAAAAGGCAAAGAGTAGACTACCATTTGACTGTCAGTGCCCCACGTACCTGGGAAGAGAGTGAGTGAGTTCACATAACCAAGCAATCTGGGGCTACTACAATGTTTTTGCCTCGTTGCTTCTTCAGCTAGTGAATGCTTCTGGCACATTTCCAGGCCAGTGAATAAACTCAGAATGACTTTCTGGAATGAAAAACATCTTTGCACACCTGACTATTGTAGCCTTCATCAGAAAGCAAGTTTTTGTTGAAGGGACAAAACCAGGTCAAGCACTAGGGAACAATTGCCCCGGATGAGGCCAGTCGGGAGAGGCAGACTGGAGTACTGAGCCTATGTGTGCATATGGGGGTAAGCATGATGAATAACCTGCAGAGAATTTTACATAGGCAGCATACCAGAACCCCCCACCTACATACTCAGTAATTAGATCAGAAGCTCAGGGAGAGGGCAGGGCAGGGGGGAAACTTCCAAGTTCTTTGAAAAGGCTTGTTGTTTGTTGTTGTTGTTGTTGTGCAGAGTAGCACTTTGGAGAATGTACTCAAGAGGATTTACTGCTCCATTTTCCTGTGCCTTCACTCCAGACACCCTTCGATTTAAGGATACAAGATGATGGGCAGGTAGTTCTTCCTTGGTGCCATTACTGAGCCATGACCACAGCCAGGGTCCAGAGAGGTCTCACAACTGGTGAACCACTCCATAACCCTTCTTTGCATCTCATGGCTTTTGTTGTCCAGGATCATAGCTCTCAATCATCACTAGAAGTTCTTTTAATATTACGATAACTTTAGAAACATGAATTAAACAAGAGGTTAGTACTGAGAAGTGCTGAAGGAAAAATATGACAATTATATTAAGTAGTGAATCCTACTTAACATTTAAAAAAAAAGGAGAAAAAGGGAACAAGGAGAGGTTTTTCGGTCAAAAAGCCTGCTGGGAGAAAACAGAAGAAATCTAGCTATGTATAGTGTGTTAGGGAGACATTTTAATCTGAGTTCAAATCCAGCCCTTCCACATACTGGCCCTGGCATATGGCATTTTATCCCTGATTTTGTATCTGTCACATGGGAAGAAAGTAGCTTAGGGCTATGGAAAGGGCCTTGAGAGCTATCTGTTTACTGTCTTAGGTGAGCCAAGGAGAGGATAATGCTCACTGAGTCATCTAGGTCTGATGCAGCTCTAGTGGTTCATCCTAAGATCAGAGCACAAACTTGTCTAGATTGTTCTGGGGTCTACCTGTCTCGTCCCCTATCCACAGCTCTCACAACTATGGAAGAGTAACCTTTATGTTAGAACTAGCCAAGGTGGGCTTGCCTCAATTTTCTTTGCTGCCTCTCTAAGAAAATACTGAGTAAATTCATGTCATCTACAGCTGTATCACTTAGCCAGAGTTGAAGATTAATCACCCTAGTTTACTGTTAGCTTCAGGGTAGCCTGGCCCTGGCCCTAACTGTCTGAGCAACTATGGGCAAGAGCTTTACCGTTTCTAAGATTTGCTCTTCATCTGCAAAGGCAAAACAGTAGCCTACGAGTGGAAAGTTCTCCATCTAGCTACATGTGACCTGTGCAGTCAGAGCAGACATGCTAAAATACTACATGAAATTACCTTGGGGTTATATGCACAAAGTACATATGATGCATAACTGAAATTTGCATTTAGACTTGGGTATCATCCGTAAGATATTTCATAATGCAAACATTCCAAATTTTTAAGAAAAATCCAAGACCCAAGCATCTGGTCCCAAGCATCTTAAAGAATAGATTCTCAGTCTGTAATAGTGTATAATTTTAAAATAGTGAAGCTATACTTATTAGCAAGTACTTTAGTTCATTCCCTCACTTTTTTTTAATGCAAGTACTAGGCATTGAACTCGGGGCCTTTTGCTTTCGCTTAACATTTTTCAAGGCTGGTGCTCTACCACTTGTCACATATCCAACTTGTCACTTCTTGCTGATAAATTGGAAACAAGAGTCTCAAGGATTTTTCTGGCTAGGGCTGACTTCAAACTGAGATCCTCAGTTCTCAGCCTCCTGCATAGCTAGGATTACAGGAGTGAGCCACCAGTGCCCGGCTCATTTCAGCACGCTTTAAATCGACCATGTACCTTTTCAAATAGCAATCTTTTGTTACATTGACAGCCAATGAGGTTTGCAGGTAGGGCTCCCTGATACTACACCCATTGTCCCTAACTTTACAATCAGTTGGCGCGTCTAAAGCGACTAACAAGTGGCAAAGTAACACTCTCATCATCCTCAGCGTCAGGGACCAGCCTCCACAGCACCGTGAAGTCTTAGAGGTAAGGAGAGTCATAGCAGGAGTCACATGCTTGAGTCCCCCTCCTCACAGAACCTGTGTCGCATCTCCCCTACTCCTGTCTCTTCTGGCAGGCTGTCAAGCGGTTCTTGAAGCAAGAATGCAAGTGTCATGGTGTGAGTGGCTCGTGTACACTGAGGACGTGCTGGCTGGCTATGGCCGACTTCAGAAAGACGGGTGACTATCTCTGGAGGAAGTACAACGGGGCCATCCAGGTGGTCATGAATCAGGATGGCACTGGCTTCACTGTGGCAAACAAGAGGTTTAAGAAGCCAACGAAAAATGACCTCGTGTATTTTGAGAATTCTCCAGACTACTGTATCAGGGACCGAGAGGCAGGTAAGTGCAAAAGACTTTCTTCAATCATCTGTACACCATGACTTCACATGAGCTGTATTTTCAGCTGGTGTTATTCATAAGTGCAGCCTGCTGCTGCCGCCTTTAGACTGATGCTCTTTGTCATATTGAAACCACACAGAAAGCTCTCCTGAGCAGATGGAGAACTAGGTTGATAATGTGCAGAACTGAGAAGCCAGTAAGAAGGTACATAGCAAAAAAGTCACAATATGCACATTAGCCAAATTGTTTCTTCTGAGCAAAATTCTACCTAGTGAATGTATGTGTGCAGCACCTCACCCTGTGTCCTTCCTGTGAGCCTGACAAAGACAGGGGAAAACTTGGCCCTGAATCTCTCCCCCACCCCCCCCACCCCCCCACCCCCCGCCTCAACTACTAAAGGCAGCTTGGGCTTGAAAGTTAGCCTTTCTGATACCTACCCTACTTTACATTCCCTTACTCTTTTCAATATGCTTACAAGTTGCCAAATACTAACGAGCAAGAATTTCTCCTCAGTCTCTTGGCTATAGGTGGTCAGGATGTAAGGAGTGTGTCGAAGAGACACCTCATTTATTAAAGCCACCCACCCTCACAGTTTGATGGCACCTTTTCCATCTTGAACACATGAGAAGGGCGACTCCCCTCAGCTCTAATATAGCAGTTGTTCTTACCAGGCTGATTTTATAGATGTATGTTTTCCATCTCTCACCTCTCCTGCTCAGCACTGAACTCCAGACATATCTCCTTCTTTGCAAAGACCTTGGTGCAGAATAGTGATGCATTGGAGCTAATCCCAGGGACTCATGCCTGTAATCCTGGCTATTGAGAAGGCTGAGATCTGAGAATCACAGTTCAAACCCAGTGTGGGCAGGAAAGTTAGTCTCTAATTAATCAGCAAAAAGCCAGAAGTGGATGTATGATTCAAGAACTAGAGCCTTGTCCTTGAGCACAATCGATAAGCAAGAGTATGAGGCCTTGAGTTCAGGTGCCAGTACGAGCACTAAAACACACACACACAAAAACAAAACCAAACCGAAAGAATGAATTGAACAAGTCTTAGTCAAAGAGAGGTGATAGAAGTCCACAGTCCACTTTGATTCCTCTCACTTTCATAGTAAAAAGCAAAGAAATTTACTACTAGGAAAAAATTCCTGAAATTTAAATTCTGAGTTTTATTTTTATTCCACAATAATTGCAAAAGGACAAATAAAATAAGACACATGCAGACAGCTGCTAATCTTAGACTACCCATGATTACCAGGGACATCACTAGAAGGCCCAGGCCTCTTTCTTGCCTTTGAGTAGTTGGATTTCCTTCGTGGTTTGATGAGCTGGCTTTCAGTGGCATGTGAGCAAGTTTGTACATGTAGGCTATGGATTAATGACTGCTGAGCAAAAGGACCAGATGCTGTGCCCCGCTGCATTCCTCACATGCCATTGGGACTGCTAACAAGTCATCCTACCTGTCACGCCAAAGTTTCAACCAAATCACTGTGAAACCTGTGCTTTGGTTTAGAATTTTCTCAGTTATCTGGCTGCCCTGATGCTATTATCTAGCTGCTTAACCTGAGCCTCCTCAAACAGGGAATGGGGATGATATCACCTTGATCATTTTAGATCTTTTATATTAACACTTGCATGCTGATTGCTAGGCTGGGATTCTGCACATGCTATTGACTTGTGGTGCCAACCCTATGACATCTGTGCATTGGAACTAGTTCCTGGAGAAAACAAAAAATGCACTCATTACCTTGTCCATGTAGTTGTAACTCCTCTGTATGGTATTTTCACAATAAATAAATAAATAAATATATAAAAATTTAAAAAAAGAAGAAGAGGGATGCTCCTACGTGATCAACAAAAACCAAAAACCAAATTCACATCTTAATTTTGGAAGTCAGAAAAGCAGCTCTAGATATTACTCTATCCACTTTTCACAGGTAAGAGAAGTGAGTGACCTGCTCATAATCTCATGGGTAGGGGAGACAGATGTTTGGCCTCATGACCTTTGTTGTGACCCTGAAGCCATACATTTGCCCCACCTATGAGTGTGAAGCAGAAGCTGCACATCCAGTATCAGAAGATCTACTTCTGCCTGATTCTTTGGGTTGAAGTCAGTTTACACAGAAAAGCAAACTATTAGATTCTCTCATGAATATTCAGTGAAATAAGAATCATACTTTCCTTTTTTAAAATTTCCCTCACAGAGCTAATTCTGAGTAAAATCCCTACCACTTCTTTAAGCTACTAAATTATTCCTGCATACTTTTTTCTTCTTGATCTCTGTATTAAAATGAAATTTTGTTTCTTGACTCTGAAGTAGCAAACATATCTTAGTACCAACCATATGCCAGAGCTTGCTCTACCTTCCCTCCCTAGTTCTAACAAGAAGAGATGAGTGTTAATATCCCATTTCATAAGAGAGGAGACTGCAGCTTGGAGAGGTGGAGAATTTTGTCCATGGACTCATAGTTGGTAAGAGGTAGAAAAAGGCTCTCTGCCCTTTCAACCATTCTGCACAGCACCTCTAGGCAAAGAACACACAGAAGAGTGGGATTTCTGAAGAAGCTATGCTATTTATTTACTCTTTTATTTCTATACTATCTTAAATACAGTTTAGCTTATCCAACCTCAAAATAAGATTTTTTTTCATTTAGTTCTTGATTGGAGTTGATGAACCAGGAGCTGCCTCCTCCTTTTCCTCCTTTTCTTTCTTCTTCTCCTCTTCCTCTTCCTGTTCCTCTCTCTCTCTCTCTTTTCTCTCTCTCTCTCTGTTTGTGTGTGTGTGTTTTCTTCCTCTTCTTCCTTTTCTTCCTCCTTCTCCTAGCTAGTTTCAATATATTGGATCATGTTTCCAGTAAGATTCCAAGAATATTTGCCAATTATCTGAGGTATAGATAATTGATCCTCTTTTAGCAGAGCCATGCAAACCTTACAATATTTCCTTTTAATTCTGGTGTCCGGGGATGATTATTTTCATGAAAATGTGATTCAGCATGCTTGATACACTGTAGGCAAAAGTCCAGCTTGGTGAAAGAATATATTTTGATTGTTCCTATTTGGAGTCATGTATAAGTAGCCACAGATACTGTTTCAGCCCATGCCACGGCCCTTGCTTTTGGTTGTGAGGGTAATGGATTGCTAAAGATGAAACTCCCCCCTAGCTGGGATAAACTTCTGTGGTATGTGTTATACTAACTGGCCCAGTTATAGAAATTTCTAGGCATGGAATCATCCCGTAGTCCTATAATCTCTTTGCAGAAGCAGAGAAATGTAACAGAATTCTGAGACCTGCAAGAGGGGAGGCTTTTTGCCTCTAAATCTCAGTGGATATATTGGATCACTGCCATGCTAAGGAACCTCCAAAAATGAGCCTGTAACTTAAGTCACATACTAAAAGACCTTCTCCCCTGTATTTGAGAGTCACATGGCCTCAGTCAAGATCTGTTTTCTGGTCAATGGAACTCTCACATATTCAAAATGGTTTACTCTTATGGGTAGAATATTGACAAGTAATCAGTATTGGAACTGCTAGTCAGCAAGTGCTTCCTGTTCAAAGCAACTCATGGACAGAAACAAGTAGGCTTTTTATGTCAATTAGGTTTGTACTGTGTATAAAGGCTATGGGTTTAGATCATAGGTGCCTCCTCAGACATCTGGTGAGTAACATCTTAGGGACACTGTTCCTGAGTTTCTATATGCTTTTCAAACTTAAGCACATCAAAGTTGGAAAAGAATCCATGAACAAGAAAATATCTAGTGGGCTATTCATTCTTCTTGGAGCCCCTGATCCCTTACAAAGGTATTTTTTTTTCTTTTTTGAAGATTTCTAAATACATGTCACCCAAATATCCCCTGACCTCATGGGCCTAGTGTAAAAGAGTGATTTTTTTTTGCATTGGGCTTTCCATCTCCAGGAACCCTCTTTGACTTCAAGGAACTAATTAAAATGACTTCAGCCCCTGAAGGCTTTCACTGGAATTAGCATCATAGGTTACAAGGTGAGCCATCAAATGAAATCCTAAAACAGTGATAGGAGGGCTAGGAAATGATCGTGAGAAGAGTCACAAGATGGAGATTCTGGGATGTTTCTGGCGAAGATAGAACTCTGGGGACGGATGCTGAGAGCACCATTTGAGTTCTTGCTCAGAGCCAGGTCTGTGCTTCGCGCCTTCCTCATTCTTGGCAAAATCTCCGGGAAAATAAGAACCTAAAAAGTAATTTAACTTGCCCCAAAAATTACATGCCTTGGAGTAGTAAGCAAAACAAAATAACTAAATTAAAAAAACAACCCAAGAATCCATACCTTTTTCAGTATATTACTTCCCTCATGGAATTTAGATGAGGAGAGGAATCGATCTGTGTAATAAAAAGGCAATAGTGAAAACATGAAACTTTAATGCAGTGAGGTCAAAGGCAGGGAGGTCAAAAGGGATCAGAAATAGGTGCTTATTTACCTCAAGTTGTCTTGACCCTTTTCGTTTGCAATCCCTTTAAGATTTTAGGAGTGAATTGTCCATTGTTCCTAAGAAATGGTAAGAAAAGCAATTAAAGGGCGTAGTATTATGGCAATAACAAGTCATTCTTCCTTGGCCTTTAATGAAAAAAAAAAAGATTATTCTGGTGGCCACCTATAAATACCTTCAGGTATTCAGGTTTGAAAGAGTAGGAACAACCATGTGATGCTGTGTATGTGACATATTGCAGGCCAAGTTGGAGACCACATCTTGAAGGCTGGCCCTTCTGGAGGAGCACTCCGGTGGCTCTGTAGATAATCTACTTTACTTATTGCCCCAGGCATCTGTAAATCAAAGAAGCCCTTCAGTTAGAGATAGGTGCATCTGAGGAATTCTGCTGTCCTCTGCAGAGGTGTCTGCACCTAATCACAGGCCACTTTCACTGGTTTTAATATAAAACCCTGACTTGGGCCAGAGGTCACTCTAAGGTGAACAAATGTAGGAAATGAACAACACTTCACCTCTTCTCCAGTCGAATTTAAAAAA